TATATCTATCTCTCTCTGTCTCTCTCTCTCTCTCTCTCTCTCTCTCTCTCTCTCTCTCTCTCTCTCTCTCACACACACACACACACACACACACACACACACACACGATAACAGATCAACTGAATTTGTTTGGATCGAGTCATTTGACAATAGATTTCAAATCCATAGCCCTCATTCTTAGTTATTTTTTGAGGCATTTCGGTGGATTTCAACATGTCAATTGCATCGATCCAAACGTAGCCTAATGGTATGCAGTATATGGGGAAGTGTAGAAACTCCAATTACACTGGAAATTGATTTAGTTCCTAACGAAAACTATAAAATATGATGACATTATAAATGAAATAAAATATTAATCCCTTCCTTGAGGTGACTCAGTTTACTGCTCAAGATAAAGAAGCAAGCAACCACAATCACGCTATAACAAATTCAAACTCATTTCTTGCACTTCTAAACTGTAAGTCTCAATGTCGCTCTCGCTAGTGTACGTTCATATCGAAACAAAACTGATAGGGTTCATTATCGAACCCCCCAAAAGCCTCAAACGGGTCCAGATGATTAAACAAAATTAAAATCCAAACTATTAAATTCATTCAATTTTAGTTCAACATGTTGTAAAAAATAAGATGACGGTTTTTATACAGTGCAAGCTTTTCTAGTACATAAATCAGCTCTGCACTTTGCGAACCTGGATATGGTGAGCTGATTCTCGACGCCAGATGGGTTGTGCTCCACTTTGGACTAGAGTGACGTACTGCCCTTCAACCACCAGACCCTTACTCTGAAGATTAAATGGAAAGAAAAAACATCTAACTTTAAATGATCATGGACAAATAAAGCAAGCTAGATTGAGAAAAAATCGAGAAAGATCATTTTACCAATAAAAGCTTCACCGCTAGTGAAAAGGTCTCCTCCGCATCATCCGTAAACTCCATATGTATAGGCATAACACCGTGATAAAGGATAAGTCGCTGCTTCACCCGTTCTCTGTGAATGAAAGCAGGTTTAAACTAAATATAAACATATGCTAGAACAGGTGTGATTACATATAAACAGCCAATTACATCACAATGAATCAATCAATTCACCTTCGAGAAGGTAAGAAATGGAAAACTCTTCAACCCCTCCGCAAAGTTTGGAATATCGAAATTCAAAACTATGTCGCTAAAATATCATTTGGTTTCAACTGATTTTTTAACTGTACAAAAACCATATTTTACCCCCCACACTCAATCCAAAAGTCATTGAAACACCTAAAAAATACATAACATCGCAAGCTTTTATACAGGATTCGTCCATGGAAGTAGAGGACAAAAAGGGTCAGATTCAAACTACTAACTTTTATTACGCACACGTGTATTGTGGTGATTGGAAATACTGATAGTATAAAAACTTACACATTTGTGAAAGCAAATATTGTCGAAGATGGCCGATAATGACTCAAATTTATTGCCATGGAACCCGTTCTTGTGAAAACTATGATGGGAGTTGCCAGAGTATTGGCCATTGTGGTTGCATGGAGAGCAAACATATCACCCATATGGCTCTGCATATTGCCGTAAAATACTCAGTTTTAGTAAGTGACGCATAATTGACATGAAAATTAATATGCGCAATGCCAAATTAAACCGAAATCTCTCCTGAACTCTTGAATGTTTAGTGAAGCTAATCTTGATTTGAAATTGAAGTTAAGAAGCACAAGGAAATCCTTACCCACAAAGAAAGAGACAGAGAAACATAAGAAAACCAACTAATAGTAACGCTACAAACTATAAGCTTGCCTACAGCTTAGCATATTCCCAAATAAAATTCAACGACATATCAGCTTAATCGTTAACTTGATTTACTGATTTCTTCGAATTCTATACAGTTACAAAATGCAAGTTACAAGGATTTTTATGTTGATTAGGATGACAAATAAGTGTTCAGAAAACTAAGTCTCCAAGAATAATTGGATTAGGAGTGTTTATGATTCGATAACCAAACCTATTGGATACATAAGTATTATATGATTCACGTCACTAATAGCTTAAGTTTTTAGATGAGATGGTCATTCAACAAAACCAAAATAAAATATGGTGGTGTACAAAAATCACACAAACTTATTTTTCATATTAGATTTCAATTTTCTAGATGGTTAGTTCTTGGTTTCCGTTTACCGAACAATACCAAATAACAAATAGTTATATCTATCGATATTCAATTTATAGCTCTTTTAACTTTTCAATTTATTTTATAAATCCTGGTCGAAGGACGTGGAACTGACGGCTGAAATGTTTTATGCAAATGTTTGAAAAGTATCCTTTTCGATAAAATAATCATCAGAAATATAAACCTGTATCTTCCATTTCTGCAAAAATCATCTTTGCATAGAAATGAACCTAGTTCATGCAAGTATAAAGATATATTTCAAAAAGCCAAAAGTCCCCAGGTAAGCATTCTGATTGGCTAGGGAAAGTTCTGTTTAAATCCCATTAACAGGGAGAGCTAGAGATGAAAGATGACGATTACAGAAACTATAAGGTGCAATATGTTAATACTCATATAACATTCCTCAATCAATTGTCATCGGGAATTCTAAAAGAAATGCTATATGCACCTTGTAGACAGCAGATTGACCTGGCGAACTGATGGTGATGGGTAGGCTTTGCTCAGTCCTCAGTGCCACAGTATGCATCACTTTAACGGCCTTCAATGGAAATCTAATACAAATGCAGAAAATAATGTTATGATGAAGGATTTGTCATCATAGTCTGCGTGAGCTATATCATATCATCATAAACAGACAGAAACTACTTGCAAACAAACTAATGAAAATAAGCATGAAACACATTAACGGTACGTGGAGGCCAAACGGATGGCAAAAATAAGAGGTAAATCCACGAATTTGAGTGACTTCTATATGGTTCTCGAGATTTTGATTTATGGTTGACAGAATGGGAGACTTGTGCTCCAAGGAATACTGGAAAGCTAATGTGCAAACAAAGACAAATATTCAAACATGAAGATTCACTTCAAGATAAAATGTCAAAAAAAAGATAACATCATCTTCCAAACAACAATAGCATATCTAATTAACCATGTCACAGTTATGTACTAAGGACCAAAGAACACTCACTTCCCATGAGCCGTTTCTCCTGAAAGCATTACTGCATCAGCACCTTCTCGTACTGCAATTGCAATATCAGAAACTTCAGCCCTTGTCGGAGTTGGGTGATTAATCATACTCTCTAGCATGTTTGTAGCTACTATAACTGCCTTTTGCATGCTTCTGCACCTTCTTATGATTTCCTCCTGTAAAAAAGTAAAATAACTTGTTTTAAACAGCACGAGCTGTTTTGGTTAGCCCAGCTTACATGAATCCTACCCATTGTTTCTCATACAAATTAGAGATAACATTATAGCAGGAAGGCAGGCGCCACATTACACAGTAGACTTAGTCATAGACCGTACAGACAAACATTATATAACCAATTCTATAAAACATATGTTTCCTCTCTCTTATATTCGTGACTTGGACTATATCAATTGTAGGGCCGGTCCCATGGTCCAAGAGTCCTAAGGGGAAAATATAATATAAGGCCTTATATATTTTTACATACCAATTACCAAATAAATAAAATAAAAGCATTTTATATAATAGTTAACAATTCAATTAATCAAACAACAAATGAAGTAGATAGTGAAATTGGTTTCTCCAACAAATTTTAGAAAATGCAGGTAATATCTAGCATGTGATTATACTTAATTTGGAAAATGATGCTTGTGCAACCCCTCAATCACATACACACAAGAAAACTCCAACCCGGATAGTTTTGACGTGGTTTACCAAAGGGAAATTACGGGACATGGGCCTTACACTATATGAAAGAAATTGTAAAATTTTGAGAGTAGATTAATTTCAAACAGACAGAAAGAAATTCAAGAATATAAAAATTGGAATATCACGTCCATGACTACCAATTATAGTAAAACATTTAAAGAGGATTATAGTAACTCTGATTTTCTAGCATCAAGTACCTGTAACAAAGGGACTTCCTCAATTGGGAGTTCGGCTCCAAGATCACCCCGAGCCACCATCGCCTATCATCACCAATGATTGCAAGAGTTGAATACACTTTACGAAATATGATACATTATTTGATTCAAGATTGAGAAATAGCATGTATACACCAAAACTAGATGGGGAAAAAGAAACAAAACAGGTATGAAATTATCTTCGGAAAGACAATCCAGCAATATCAGAGTAGGCAAGGTTTGGTAGGGATATGTGCCTATGTGGTCGTTTGTGCGGTCTTAAGTGAGTTTTGGTATTATAACTTTATAAGTTTATTGCAGTAAACTTCAGCACTGTTACGGAGTAGAAAATCAGTACATCTCATTGGCACATGCATTTGAAGAATAAGAAAGTCCTGAAGACTTAGGAAGAAGATTAGTTATAGTTTCTTGGATTGACTCCATCTTAGTCTTTTTTCTCAATTTTAAACTAATGTAAAGAAAATATGATCTTTTGATGAATATCTTAAATTTCACTTTATGTTTTTTGTCGAACTTACATACCCTTGCATCAGTTAAACCAAATATTAAGGTGGCACGTGGATCGGATAATCTGGATTGAGCAAATGATCTGGGGAAGAATCTTTAATTGATAGAAATAAGATGGGTTTGAAATCCACCATAAAGAATCAAAAAATTGCTCAAAACAGGAATCAAGGGTTTAAGTATTGTAATATGATTTTATCCGAACCGGTTCGATCAATTTATTATTGTAGATTTGATATCCTTAACTTCAAATCATCAAATCTAAATGGCGCCTTGCCTTGTGGGTCTATTAATTCAAAATTTATTTGA